CGTCACGAAGCTTATGACTTGTCCCCTGATTGTCACGCGATGTCAAAGTTTGCTGACTTAACACAAAAGTAAAAGTATCTAGCAAATTTAATAGCTTAATGTTATTGAACTGAGGTGGCTTTCACTTGATGAAAATCTATTTAACAAAATAAATAAGATTTTCACGAAATTATATATATTCACATAATAATTGCTTCGACAACACCGTGTCTTTATCAAATGTGATCTTTACAAACTACCTGCTACTATATATACCGAAAAATTACAATAAAACCTTAATTAATGTTGTTGTGAGAATTTAAGTAAGTAAGAGGTATTTAAATCTAATTGATCGTTAAGCAATACATTTGAATATCTCATTTTATTAATCTCCATGGCTTCCAATAAATTTAATTCTCTACTTTTTGTGTTTTTCGATGTTTAAGTGTGTAGCACAAGTAGATTCTAGACTATTGTTTTTAAACGCTCTCTTATGTTCGTTAATGCGTTTCTTGAAGGATCGACCTGTTTGTTCAATATAAATTTTGTGGCAAGATCCGCATTTCAACCTGTTGACACCTGATTTTTTGAGATTTTGGACATTTCGCTTTACTGTTTTTTTAAAATTTTCCTATTATGTTTGTAGTTCTGAAAGCTTTTTCACTGGGTTCTCCTATGTACGTAATTGTTTTAAATTGTTCGTGTTCTGTATTAGGTTTCGGCTAAATAGAGTTTATTGTTGTCTGGATTTGTTTTCTATTTATAATTTTATCGATTATGGACGGACTGTAGCCGTTGTTCAGTGCAATTTGTTTAATGATATTAAGTTCTTTGTTGTAATTTTCTGTTGAGAATGGCGTATTAAGAAGTCTGTGTATAAAAGAGTGAAATGCAGCCATTTTGTGTGTATAAGGGTGATTTGAGCTGTTATGTATGACCGTATCCGTGTGTGAAGGTTTATGGTGAATGGAAAAATCTAATTTGTTTTGCGTTTTCTAATAGTTAAGTCTAAAAAATTAATAGAGTAATCCTGTTCACTTTCGATACGATTAAAAATAGAAATAAAAATAAAAATAGCTTTCACAACTAACAACACAATAGGAAAATTTTTAAAAAACAATAAAACGAAATGTTCAAAACCTCAAAAATCAGTTGTCTGGCGATCTTCAACAGAGCGTTTAAAAACAATAGTCTAGATTCTAATTATGCTACACACTTAAACATAGAAAACCACATTTTTGACGACAATTTTATTATTTTACATGCAGCCTCAAAAAGTAGAAAGTTAAATTTATTGGAAGCCATGGAGATTAACAAAATGAGACGTTCAAATATATTGCCTAACGATCAATTAGATTTAAACACCTCTCCATTATTAAAGTTAAATACTCATGACAATATGAAATAAGGTTTTATTGTCATTTTTCGCTATTTCGCAGGTAGTTTGTAAATATTGCATTTGATAAAGACACGGTGTGAAAATCTAAACTTCTTTTGCTTATTTTGCTTAATGCTATTGTAAGTGTTGTCTCAAATTTATTGTTGTAAGTCGATTAAATGGAGACACAGTTGCTAATTTTGTTGCTTAAGTTTCAAAATCGAGAAAATTCTCAAAATCATTTGAATTTTTTCAGGGCTTAAAAAAAACTAATTCCACTTTCCTAGTGTGACTATTTCTAACCAGCAAATTGACATTATTAAGTTTTAAGGTTTACATTTCGGTTTTGTGTGCTCGTCATCAACTTAATTTTTTTTTTTAAATACGAACCTACATTTTTTATGTAATATTTTGAATGAGTTTGTGATTCCAAAACAAATGCATCACACTGAAACTCAAATGCGGTTGCATAATATACTATTGTTGTGAACTAGTTAAATATTTTTGATAATTTGAATGCGATTTAATTTAGTACAAAAAAATGAACTAATAGTTCTACATTTGATCTAGATAACTGTAAGTAATACAGCCAGGGATACGCAGTGCATCTCTGAAAGGTTTTGTCTGTTATTAGAACGAAAGTGCTCCTGAGTGTGGTAAAGCGTGGGTTCCAATTACTTCAACAAAAGCTTTCCAAAGAGTTTTTAGGGCATTTGAGGTTGTTTTCCTAGCGTCTTCCTACACAAAAATCGCATAGGAGAGTATCGAATGAACCTAAGCTTAATGTTTTTATCTAACTGTTTTGTATCATATTTAAGTTGTGGAAAAAGAAACACGAGTTTTGCTAATTCAAGTTTTCGTCAAAGCTTACTTCTAAATACTACCTGTTTTTTGCTCAATGATTTCATAGTAGCAGTAAGAAGTAATATATTTAAGTTGTAGGAGGAGTCAAGTCCCATTTCTTAAACAAAAATTTATGTATGCAACCTTTTCTGTGTTAAGAACAATTCTATTGAGGTGAAACCATTGTTTTATATAAACTAAGTCACTGTGGATACCTTTCTAATACTTTCCTACGAGTCACCCATTTATAGCAGTGCCTTGTTTCAATTTTTTGAAATCAATTTATGACCAAAGTATATTCCAAAATACTTACTATATGTTTTCTGATCTATGATTGGACAGACGCAGCACATATTTATGTTTGTGAATGTTTATAGGCTAAGTGAAGTTTCATATATTTATTTAACTAAATTCACGTATCTAGTAAAGAATCGTAAACCTAATAGGATTGCCTAATACGCCAAATCTGTCCGCAAGTGCAATGCGAAAACTCTCGCTGGCTGTGATGTAGGTGAGGTCCTATATTGGCACGTCTACTATGTAAATGCATGGAAATAATCTAAAACTGACCCGAGTTTTGATGGACTTTGAGTGTTTTGAGTAGCTAATATAGCATTTTGTTTGGATAATCACTCGTTATTTTCATCTAATGTCAACATTAAATCGTTTTAGTACTTATTTAATAATTATTGAGAAGTAGCGTAGGGTAGGGACTCAGGTAGGGTAAAAATAATACTACTGCAATCAAGTTTGGCTTATATGTATTATCTTGAAATACATATATTAATTAAATATTACATACATATATACATAAATACATAAAACTAGCGAACAAAACGATTTACTTGTAAAACTTTGTGTTTTACGGCATTCTACCATTTTAAATATACAAAAATCAACAAATACTTATAAACTAGAAATCCCTATTTTTGGATATATTAAAGAACATATTAAAAAACGAAAAATATATTAGGCATACATAACAACTATTTATGGGTGGTAGGTAAATAATAATATGTATCTATATGTACCCTCGTATGTACATAATATAAAAAATGCATATTACTTCATATACTTAAATCTTTAATTTACATTTTTACCATACTTTATAATTTTTTTTCTGCGGGTATCATCTTGCAAAGATTTTCTTTTTAGACTAACGTTATATTTTGCTTCTAGCAAAGAATATTTTTTCGTTAAATTATTAAGACTATCTAACAAATCCATATACTTAGCTTTATAATTTATTATTTGGGGTTCGGAGATGGGTTCTGGCATGGGTTCTGGAGATGGATTTTTCTCTAGAATTTCACTTGTGGCATTCAATGTTGTCGCTAAAAGCTGAGACAATACCTGCTGAGCTTCTTTTTTGGGATTTTTGGAATGAAGTCTTTTTGATCTAGATAATCCTGCATCTGTTGGTGGCTTCTGGTTAAATAATAATAGCGTGGGAACAGCAGTTTTTTTAGAATCTTCTTTAAAGGTAAACCTAAAATTTAAAATTTGTGTTTAATTTAATGTGTTACTCAAGACAAAAAAAGACCTAATAACTCATTTTGTAAGTGTCTTTCGTAATCATTTTCAGTAAAATTAACGCAGACAGCGTTTATCTGTAGTTCGGGATACTAGACCTTTCTCTTTGGGAAAGCGATGAAAACTCCATTTTCGAGAACTTGCTTTTTCATCAAAATAGTTGTTGTTGCACCCATATATGGCACATCTCGTTCCAGGCATACCTAACTATTTTTTTATGTAACTTATCCCACTGAAAAAGGTAAAAGACATGTATTTCTTACCTTTACCTATATCATTATGTGTAATATTTTGAGCTTAGCTCCTAACTAATAACACCGCTAATAAGCAGCACGAACACAAAACTTTTAAGTCTTTCTTTAAGGTTAAAAATACTGTTTTTCTCAGTCCTCGCCACTCAAGCACATGCAATCTTAAAGTATTTGTTAAAGCTTAAAAACACTGTTTTGTAAAAGTTTTTTTTTACAGAAATACAATTAACACAAACATAAGCGCACTACTCACTAGTTTAAATTATTTTAATTGTTCAAAGAACACAAAATACAATGGTTTAATACGCCTTCAAATGCATGGACAGAATATACAAAAACCGTTAGAGGACTTCGCTTACGTCACAAGCGACCACGTGCGATCGGTAATTTTAGCGAACGTATGTCTTATGGGATTTGGCAAACCTATTAGGTTTGGTATCTAGTCTTTTCTGCATTCTGTCGATGTTAAACTAGTGTTTTATGTAAATGAAGTCGCTGTTGTTACTTTCCCTAATACTTGCAAATGTAAATAATAATGCTTCTAACTATCCTCCAATAATGACCACCTGCAGATTCAATTTATTACTCAGATACGGTTGTTCCAAATCAAGTTTTGGTCAAAGTATACTCCTAAGTACGTACTTACAGCATAGTATCAAATGCTTTTCTGAAATCTATGAAAAGTGCTGTTATTTTCTTGTTATTATTTGAATGTTAAAATTTGTTAGTGTTGAAAAAGCTTTATATTGATTAACTATAAAAGTCGTTCTCCAATATTTTTTTCAATAGTTTGTTAAGTAATTGGTAATAGTGAAGCAGACAATTGTAATCTAAGCAACAAGATACGATCTCAAAAATATAATAATTATCAGTAGGAAAGTAACATTGTCGTTTTTTAAAGCAACGAATCTGCCGACGCCATTATTTGGTAATGTATTTGTTAAATTGTTATCAAAGATATTGCGAAATTATTTTGGTAATAAATAAGGCGTGACGCCGGCTTGTTATTAATGTTTAAAACTAAGATTTTGCGATATTCCTATGACGAACGGTGTCGAAGTAGGAACGACAGCGATAACTCGAAAAGTAAAAACGAATTCCGTGGCGATATTGTATCGCTTTATACAGTTATTCGATATTTTTCCTCTATAGGGACCATTTTTCATTCACATATTATATCTGGTCGAGTTAACTCGTTGAAAATTAAGTCAGTGTTCTTTCCGTATCGTATGTAAAACTTATCGACCATTCAGTTGTAACTTGCTCCGCGAAAAAATGAGTTGCCCGTTAAATAGAAATAGGTAAGTAAATTTCATGAATTGTGTGGCTATTTTAGTAAGGGATTTTTTTTTTACTTGATGTACAACTAAAATACTAATATTGCCAAAAGTTGGTGAATGTCCCATAATTATATTAGGTGCACTTAAAATATTTGCAAATAGCACACAGGGTAGGACAAAAAATACAACAAATTGCACACGGGTAAAATATATAAAATATTGTTAGAAAATAAATTCTAAGAATTAAAAGTTATGTCTTCATATCAAAATAGATAAAAGATAAAAAGTTTTTTGTTCGAAAGATTTTTTTTTAATAATTATTATTTAATAACTGCTGCCACAAATTATGAAACATCAAATCAATTTAGAAAATGTTGTAAAATTCCATGAGATTTTTAATTTTTTAGCAAAACACAAATTTTATGTTTGTTGCAACAATATTTAATAAAAATGAAAAATGTAATAAAAAATTACAGTGTGCATATTAAGAAGTCGTCATTAAAATAGTAAAATTTATATTTTAAGTAATTATTATTACAAATAATTAGTATTACTAATATAAAATTCGTACATTTGGTATAATATTTCTGCAATGAATTAAGAAAAAATCTAATGGGATATCTGGCGCACTTGGAGGACTAACAATTAGCTACAAAATGACGTAAATAACGGGATCCGAATTTTCATCTGATCACCACTTACAATTTTGAAAAAACCTTAGTTAATTTTACAAATGAGATGCAATTCGAACAAAAATTTTGCTAAATTGATTTAATTTTGAATAATTTCCAACAGTATTTACAATTATTGAATAAAAAAAAAAGGAAATTATTAATGTTTTTAAACTTTTTTATCCTACTAGACCCTGTTTTGCCATCAATGCATAACTTTAATTCCTAACAACTTTTCTTAATAACATTTTGCTCCATGATTTGAGATAAGGGTACTTTAATCTACTTTGTGCTGCCATGCTGTTTTGACTACATTCAGAATAATGATCCGGATTTCCAAATTCCCTGACGTTCAATTAAGCCAATTCAAATATTTTTCAAAAATTAAAATTTAAAAATGGGCCGTCGTTCTATTAAGTATTAAAAAAAAACAGCGATAGAACTGATAGATTTTAATGAATCTTTTTAGTAGTAGCAATTTCGTAAAAAAAGAATATGTGAAAATTGGTGTTATTATTATTGCTTCTTACGCATATATAAAACAATAAAAAGGAAAATGAAGTTTTATTTGGCAGACAACTCATAGCCATCTAGTCTAAAAGAGAAATGTGCTGATAATTCGGTTATTTTCAATTTTAGGCTAATGTTGTATATGGCCTTTTGTGTTTTGTTGGTGTTTTGTAAGCGTCACAGTAAAAATATACATAGTGTTACATTTAAAAAGTACATTTTCCTCATTTTTTCTTAGGCCCTAAATTTAGCTCTTTCTTTATTGTTACCATTGCAATCAGTAGAAGAAATACTACTTGTTTGGAGGAATCCAGAAGATCTGAAAATAGTATAACGATAGCCTGTCGAAAAAGTATGATTCGTCTCAAAACAAAACAATTTTTTTTATAATCTTTTTGTTCCTTGAAAAATTGTAGACATACTGTGCTTTTAACAAATTCCTTATAGGTTTTAACTATGCGAACAATCTGCAAATTTAGTTAATAAAATTGCATTCAAATCCTGCCAATTTGGTCAGGTTTATTACTATTTACGAGGAAATTTACCCGAGTAACATTGGGACGGACAAAATTTAAAATTAAGCATTATATCTTGAAATCTTGAAAAAATGAGTATGAAAATTAACATAAAACTTTTGCAACAATGAAATATACAAAACAAACATAATACAAAAACTATTGGCGACTTTTAAGTGTATGTACGTAGAAAAGAGAACAAAGGCCAAAATAATCGCCAAAATTAGCTCTATAATGAACGTCGTTGCTAACAGGAATTGCAGGTGATTAGAATGGTTTTCTAGGGAACTATATCAATTCCGGAAAATATATTTCTACTCAATGGTTTATCAGTACCTTCAAATGCTAATTGAAAATGTCTACTTCTATTACTTCTACTGCTGGGGATTTGTTGGGTATAATTATATAAATGGTGTAAAATTTATAACATGTACGAAGTAATAAAATGTATATAAACAAAAAATTCTTTGTTACGTGTTTAGTTTATTTGTTCGCGTTTACAAAAATTGTTGTAATTCTTTTTAATACACGAGATGTGAACAACAGCAATTAGAAATTTCAAGTATCTTGTGTGAATTGAAGAGTATCTATTTGAATTGAATTGAAGACTTCAGATAAAATGCTCGTGTTTTAGTAAGCGATTCTTATTGTTATATTAACAATATTTTTATGACCCTGCATGGAAAAGGTTTTTATTTTTGTTCACCGAATACCGTACACTGCATTAAAAAAATTAACAGGCTAAATTTCTTTAGAAACTATTGGAGATTTTAAGAATAAATTTTATTTTAAGAGAATTCAATTTCGTACCATCAATGTCTGCTAAAACAGACATAAGAAACTCCTCAGCCCCGCCACTGGGGTTTTTTAAAAAAAAGGTGGTATACTAAAGAATGCCTATCCATACATAATATATGTGTACAAAATTTCATTAAAATATCTAAAGTAATATTACAGGTATTAAAAAAATGTATCTAGACTTAAAAGGTTTACGACATATGATATGAAGTTTTGTTTTTAAAATGGATGTAGTAAAAATCGCCTTCTTAATTAGTGACATTCAATTAGAAAACGTCCTGTAAATATTAACTAGTTTCATTAAACAAACTTTTATAAGAAGCGGAATATTATATAATACAAATAACTAACTCAAGTATACTCCTTAAATGTGGTGTTGTAAGTTCAGTAAAAAATTGATTTCGATTTCTGATTTCCAAATTTGATATTGTTGCCACTGAGAGTGAAAATGAAATTGTATAAAATCCAGGAAAATCAGACAGAATGACTGAAAATTTAAATTTGCAGCGATCACGCAGTCGGGGAAGAAAACCTATGCAACCATGAGGCTGGTATGCTGTATGGCGAATACTTAATGCTGGATAAAATCTTGTCTGCCCAGAGATTGCTGAGTCAAGAAAATAGCGATCCTGTTCACGACGAGCATCTCTTTATAGTGACACATCAAGGTAAGTCAAATAATAATAAAACACACGAGGGGCTATTTTATGTAATGGAAAACCTTTAAATGTGCGAAACCATTTTTGATCATTCTACATTGTTCTCAAAAATGAGATGACAAATCAAAAAACTTAAATTTAGTAAATGAATTTACCCACATTTGTAGCAGAGAGACTACATTACACTGATATATTGTAAGTCATGCTATTTTCGAGTTCGTCTTTCAATTTTCTAAAAAAACTCATCATAAAATCATAAACCAGTGGCGCACTACATTTACAAACAATATATAATATTCAAATATTCTGTATTTCCGTCACTGGAACATTTAGATTTTAGGAAAAGGCGTGTGGAAATTAATATGTGCAAATTAAATTTTTCAATTTCAATAGAATATCGTTTTGACTATGGAATAAATTTTATGGGCCCTTTAAAGGCGATAAAACTCCCCGTGAGATTGCCGGAGGAGATACGAAGACACTTCGGGGATAGTATTTTTGAACGAAACGCATTTTATAAGGAACATTGCACTTTTTGTGGATTTTGCTTTATTGCTCACGTAGAAAATTGTTCTTTATTATGTTTTGTTGTTGTTTTAGGCATTTTTATGGGCTTTCTTATCGCAATGTTTGTGAACGTCATCGACTAAAACCTTAACTTTTTTTACTAATTGCATATATAGTTGATTCAAGCAAGGGTCGGGAAAACTTAGTTTACAAGATACAGAGTGTCCAAAAATGGTTTTGAGATAATCCTTCCGTACCTGCCCTAATGACGGCCATTTTCAATATTTTATTGGGTGTTAATGTTTTAAGTGAAGGGTAAAAAAATATTCATAAAAATAAAATTTGCCAATTTTCATGATGTTTTTTTTTCTTCAAAGCGATGCAAGATACAAAGGAAAGTTAAAAAAATCAAAAGTCAAAAAGCACTTTTTGTATTTAATGTAAATAACACAAATTGCAAAGGAATCAGTGACGTCGAGATTATTTTCTGACACATGTGTTACGCTGTATCTTAGACTTTAAGCATACACAGGCCAACGTTTTCACAACTTTTTTTCCTTTTTTTTTTAAATAACGAATTTCCAGCCAACCGTTGGTGTGTGTCGTTTCAAACACCCTGCATAACCGCAAAATCAAAATCTAACAGAACAAAAATTTGAATTTTAATATTTCTTTTAAAATATCTTTTCTTCTATTTTCTGCGTCGTTCCTTCACACAAACGCAAAACTTTACTTAAATCTCATACCCATTGGACAAATGAATGTAAGCCCGACCAAGATGACGCAAATTAGATCGCTCGTTCGTAAAATGTAATCGGACATTTGATAACCGTGCAAGAAAAAAAAGGAAACGGAAAATTGGCTTGTTGAATTAAAACCAAGGTTCTTTAAAAAACCTTGTAAATCTAAGTTTTCCGTCTGGTATGTCGTTCCTGCATTCCCTTTCTATAGTTATTCAATTATTTCTAAAAATAGGAATCAGATCAGATTTCAACGTAGTACGCTATACCCACATATTCAGCAATCAATATCCGGACAGTGACCTACGGGAACAGAATTTTATGAACATATCCGGGAGAATATGTGATATAACGGGTGATTATAAATGCTATCTGGCTCTAATATTTTTTTAATTGTTTAATATCAAAGTTGTTAGGTTTAATTTGTTGAGTTAATATTACATTATTTGGATATACAAAAAAAAATATATATATATATATATATATATATATATATATATATATATATATATATATATATATATATATATATATATATATATATATATATATATATATATATATATATATAATAACAAACAAACAAAAAAACAAAAACTCGAATTATCATTTTATATGTAAAAAAAGTCAAAAATGACAATAGGCACACCCAATATATTACATAACAATATACAAATAATATGAATATTTAAACACTAATTTATTGATTACGAGTAGTGCGTAAAATGTTGAAAATGTCCTTTTTTTTACTGCAAATTATTTCTATTATTTATTTCACTCCTAATCAGTTGTCTAATGTCAGCCGGAATGCTGTCCAAAATAATTTTTGTTTTTTAAATACTGGTTGACTAAAATATTGTGCGCAATCCCACAATTCATATTCGATATATATCATTTAAATATAATATAACATGGAAAATATGTATGTATTTGATTTGTGCGAATTCATTGACTCTCAGAGATTTTCTATATTTCGAATATCATTTTTAACTTTTATCGTTTTTTTACATGGTGTTTCAAAACAATTTTGAAAAACTTAAGTGGGCGACTCCTGCAAATATGGCAGCAAATAATATTTTTAATTTTGAATTTTTTAACTTCAATTAGAACATAGGAATAGTTCTTCTTAACTAAATTTATAGGGAAACATAGGCAATAACATGGAAAAATTTTGATGTACGTGGTTATTAGAACCTTTTTTGTCTCCTCCTATTTTTTCGCAAAACTTACAGTTGGGTTCTACAAGACCAGTTGCATTTCGTACCACTATATCTGTAATTCCCGAAGTAGTTTAATCTACCATTTTGAACTAAAACTCTTGTTATCCAACCATTAAATGATTAAAAAATATATAATTAATTAAATAAGATATTTCAGATTCAAATTTTTTTTATGCCCTCGATTAAAGAAGTTAAGAAAAATGATATTGGTGGTCTAATTTAATTAGTTTTATATATAAAATGGAACACAATATTATAAACCTCTAAGATTGGTTCATTGCAAACTGTTTAAACCTGAATATTGAAAGAACAGAAAGTCATATTTACTTTAAGATCTCATGAGTATAACAATAAAATTGTTGGCAAGATATACTCAAGTCTTTTGTACTATGTTTTAGACAGTGATTTTCTTTCTAATAGGGATTCTTTCAGCAATTTTAATGAAATTAGTAATTGATACAACTATGAACATATAAACATAAAGAACTTTTCGGAATATGAGATGGAAAGAGCTCTTAAAGCTATTAAACTTCAATTTACAATTGGTCCAGATTTTATTCCCGCTTTTGTTATACATGACTGTCGCTCTGCTTTTGTCAAACCGCTTGTAATACTTTTTGATCTAGGTCTGAGAAACCAAGTTATTCCTGGTATATGGAAAATGCCTAAATTGCAATTTCCGTAATGTATTAGAATCATTCCTTCATGACAAAATATTTCATATTGTTAAGAACCAAAAATGCCAATAGGGCCAGATGATATAGGTAAATAAACACTAATTTATTGATTAGGAATATTGCGACAAATGTTGAAAATGTACTCCATTTTCCTGAATACACGATTGATAATCTCTTTTTAACTTATCTATAGCTTTATTTATCCAGTCAGAATGCAAATCATTATTTATTATTTATTATTATTAATTTATTTTATTTCACTCCGAATTCTTATTATTTATTATTTAAAATGTTAATATTTGAAATTTTAAAATTTGAAGTCCCTTGCACTCATTTGAAGAAATACAAAAAATATGCAGAAATTTTGTTTTTATATTAGTAATAATTTATAATATTTCATCTTTTTGTCTATTCTCTTTTTAATATAAAAAATAAATGCCGCAACTGTCATAGTTAAACAAAACACTTGCTCCATGATGATATATATGGCCCGCTAAGTAACGATTTTATTTTCATTATAAAACTATCTGTAACATGCTAATTATTTTGAAATCAGCGTAGCAAAACCCTCACGTAGCTGTGATCTGTTTTTTGCTACACCCTGTAAGTAATTTAAAACAAAAAAAATGGAGGGGGAGTAATATGTATTTTATACTTTATTCGAAGTGTCATAATTCTCTTTATTGCTACAAAGTCAAAGTTTGATAAAACGGTGATTATGATGAAACAAAGCGATCAGTAATACGGGATTGCCAATACTGGGGTTATCGAAAGTTTGTTTACCGAAAATGGTTCAAATTAACGTGCAGATTAATCAAATTTCGCATTTTCTACGCCGCTAATAATGTGTTCCTTAAAATAAAACAAATGGCCCATCCTCTAAGTTATGTGGTTTCACATAATTATAAGAATTCAATGAAACTTCGAAGTAGATGAAATGAAATAATACACGGGCATCATTTATTATTTATACTTCTCAGTTTCACATGTCACTAAATTACCTTAATTATAATCTTTATGCTGAGGACACTCAACTATACACAGCTTATAAATTCTGATTTAAATAACTTCTGTAATATTGCTACGGATCATCTACTCAAAATTATTCCTATTAAATCAGCTGTTCTAATTTTTGGAGACGATGTTCAAGGTGCAAATTCAAAAAATCAGCTCTTGTTAGCAATTAATGATACTCCCCTGCAATTTTATGTAAAAGCCTGGGTTATGGTACTTTATAACTAGTTTATTCTTGTAGATACTACTTATCACAAGAGACCAACAGGCTGCTTTGCGACTCTATGGTGTTGTCTCAGCTGAACCACTGTTCTAGTGATTACAGCTCTTGCCTTGACACAGCCGATAAGACTTGATTGAGGCTGAGGTTGATTTGTGGAATTCAAAGACGCAAAAGAATTTCAAATTTTCTCCGGACTGTTGGTTGGCTCAATATGCATAATAGATTGAAATGGCTTATAAAACTTGCATGAGAAATAATTCCAGAAAGGAACAAAGGAACAATGTTGCTTCACTAGCTAAGTCTTTGGACGGTTCTGGTCTCGGTGGGGCACATCATGCATTTAGATATAAGTTTCAATTTAGTCTTCTCAAACGTCAATATTAATGTCTCGCAATTCTTTATATACTTACTATATAAGGCGTATTCTTTGTTATCTTTAAAAATGACTTTTTTTTTCAATGAGGCTATAATAGTTTTGAGTTTTGCCTGGATGGCTGCGATTCATTTCAAGCCTTTTGCTGCATGATTTCCTAATTTACTTACACTTATGTATATGTACTGTAATTTTTCATGCTGTAAGCAATAAACGTTTTTATTATTATTATTAATATGAGACCTCTAAAAGCAATATTATTGTAAGTTATTTTGTTATTTCAAAAAAAATGTTTTTATAGGTCTGACGATGCGAGACACATGTAATATCGAATCCTTATAGTAATATGTTTCCTGCTTATTTAAAATTAATTATTTAAAATTGTTGCAGCGTACGAGTTATGGTTTAAGCAAATCATATTCGAGCTGGATTCTATCCGCGCAATTTTCAGCGAAGTGCTCGAGGAGACTCAGACGCTGGAAATATTGAAAAGACTCAACCGTATCGTACTGATTCTTAAGGTACCATCCACCCAATTGATTAATACTTTCCTATTCGACCTATTTTTTGTTCTACAGGTGTTAGTAGATCAGGTGATGATTTTAGAGACTATGACGCCCCTGGACTTCATGGATTTCCGGAACTACCTTAGACCAGCGTCCGGATTTCAGAGTCTTCAGTTTAGACTGCTGGAGAACAAGCTGGGGGTTAAAGTGCAGAACAGGGTCAAATATAATACCAACTATATGAAAGTCTTTGGACATGATAAGGTTACTACACTTACTTCTGGTTAGAGATATGATTTCTGTTGTTTATTTTAATCTCGAGCAATTGCGTTGCTATTTCTGTTTGCTGAATGACGTTAGGTATGATTTTCTATTAATAAGAACATCTAACAATGTGAAATTATTATAAATTTCTAATTCAATGGTAAAATGTTAGGGTGTATTGAGTATAAATGGTTAAGAAAATCTAACCGAAACTAACCACTGAACCATATGCCATCAGCAGTAGCCGAATACAATCATAAAACCGGACAACAAATTTAAATTTAAACTTCTTGCATGTAATCAATTCTTCTACCAAAGAAAAATCAGAGAATTCAAAGAAATGAACCAAATTATCTTACCTTAGCTCAGGCCTCTATCTTTCACTAATATGGAAATGAGTCATCCTAGATATGTAGCTTCCAATCTGTTTTTGATAGACTAAAAATCACGACGATTTTTTTCCTTTCATTCACAATATCTTCTATCGTGCATATTAGCGTTTCTGTAAGAACTGTTCAATGAATCCTCTACTTTTTTAAAAGTAGAACAAATTTTTCGCTATGTGTTTTGCATTTGATGACAAGTTATTTCGACCCGACATAACAGAATAATTAGTGACATACTCGTAAGAAGGTTTTTCGAAATGCAGTGAAACTTTGACATGGGATTAGAATTATTAAAAAACTTTGTTCATCAAAATTTGTACCATTCATGTTTGTTTTTGCTCTAGTCCCCAAAACAATTATAAATGTGAATATTGTTAAGCAGTTTTATGCATTTTCAATTCAAGATTTATTGCGCATGTTTTCCGTTGTTGCTATAAGGTGTTGGTGTTTTTCCCACAGAAAGCTTTGAAGGCACTAAACATGTCGGAAACTCAACCGCCTTTGTCGGAGCTGGTTGAAAAATGGCTAGAGAGGGCACCCGGATTAGGACCAGGAGAATTTGACTTTTGGAAAAAGTTTCAGGAAGCTGTCGAGCAACTCCTAGATGAGCAACGCGAAATTGCCGAGGTTAAATTTAATTTTAATTGATTCATTTGATAATGTTTTAATTTATCATATGTTATATCATACCATATGGTACAAGAAGGTATGTATAATCTAAAGTGACAACAAATTTTGAGTGGAAACTTTTGAATTTTATAGTTCATCCCAACCTTTTTTGACTTTTATATTTGACATTGGTCACATTAACCACTGTTTACCGGGCTGACTAGTAATGAAAAAGAAAACATAAAACCATAGTCAAAACAAAGGCTTTTTAACACGGGCACGTTTTTTGAAACATCCTGAAAACACAATAAAAAATAAATAAGTGATAAAGAAATGAAAAAAAATGTGGTTAGTGCTTTGTATCATTATTGACCTATCGAGAGCACCCTTTAAAGGAATATGGATATGTGAAGAAAAAATATTTCAATTCTCTGTTTTTCTAGATAATTTAGGTAATGATAATGTTGCCATAATAAAACACTTCGAGCACTTTTTTGAGCAATTTGTCAAGAAAATATCGAAATACACGCCACATTAGCATATGTATCATCGATTTTAATTTCATATATGCATTTTAATTACAATTCCCAGTCATAAAAAAGAACTTTACGAAATATAATTTTCTTACAGAATTGCTTCACTTAATATACAGGGCATGTGTAGTCTCTCTATCTCATTTCGGAAATACCCAGTGTTGTAAAAAATGAATAAAAATTGTTGATAAACGGCACATATAACAAGGGACTTTAATACTGTGGTCACTTTAAACATTTCAATTTTCATTTTTCTGCCGGAGATCCGGGTAACGAATACCTTAATTTCGTAAGTAATTATAATAATTTTAATTAAGGTAGAGCTATAATAAAAATTATAATAATTTTGGTAAGTGAAGTAGCTCACGCCCCTTATTATGTGTACCATGTATCGCTGCAATATCTCGCCAGTGAGGTTGGGAAACACCCTGTATATAAAATAAACATGAACTAGTCAGTCCAGTCAAATATTTCAAAGTAATATAATAATAAAAGTAAGTAAAAAATAATAAAATATTTGTTTTATTTTTAAAGTCAAGTCATACATTTTAGATAATGTACAAAACACATTATTACAAACGTAAACTTTTTAGGCACACCTGCCTCCTTCAAGCAAATTCATTATACATATCATTTTTGAAGGAAATCAAATGCTACCATCTTTTTTACAAGGGCTTGCGTCACTTGGTTCTAACCCATGCTAAGTGCGGAATTTGTTGTACCTTTGGTTGCAGAAATTAAGGGGGCTGTTTAATATTTCGTCTTTAAATCAATGAATAATCTATATTACTGTATGTTTCGAGTTCAAATTTTGGAAATAAGTTACCAATAGTTATACCTAGGTTTAAACAATGTTTTAGAAAAATCTGAAAGGAAAAACGTAAAAAATTGGTTGTTTTCAATAGCTTATAAAAAAGTTTTTTAAACTTGCCTAAAACATAGCCCAAACATTTATCTTTACATTTCACTTAAGTTATTGCTAAAAAATTTAGCGACTTTTGAGTTTAATTGCGCCAAACCGAAACCTTCAACCCAACTGGTTGTCAAGTCCCCTTTAAAAAAAAGATACATGAATGATGTTAGTTTTCTTTTTTTTTTCCTTTAATTAATTAGTTAATATGATATTTTAATCCTGGTATATAAAAAATACTTTTTTGCATTTGTAAAACTGTTTATTTATTATAAAATAAGTATTATTATTATTATTATTATTATTATTATTATTATTATTATTATTATTATTATTATGATTTGGCTATTTAGATTGATTGATGTAGTACATAACTGTTGTCCTCATTTCAGAACGAAAAAAGCGAAGCCGTTAAGAAATACTTGCTTAACGATGTCAGAAAGCGCGAAGAAGTGTACGAATCGATTTTCACTAGGGAAATCCACGACGCCCTGATGATGAGAGGCGAGAGACGATTCTCCCACAAGGCTTTGCAAGGTTTGTCGTTCAGATTTTTCTCTAGAGATTTGAAACACGTTCAGTTCATATTTAATAATTCTAGGAGCTATTTTAATCACTCTATATCGAGACGAGCCCAGATTTAGTCAGCCCCATCAAATACTAAATTTGTTGATGGACATAGATTCTTTGATCACGAAATGGAGATGTAAGTAATTTATGCTATTGACGTAAAATTCCAATTGAAATAATATATACCCTATTTTGTATGCCATCTTATTCGGGATGTCCGAAAAATGTTCCCATTATTCTATAGGTCTTTGAGTTCTTGCAATATTGAATATAGCTGCATATAGTACTTAGAAGTAACCAAAAACACAGGTCAACAATTCTCGATCTGACATTTGATTCTGTATAATTTAGGACTAAATTTAAATCTGATTTAAACATTATTTTTATTAGTACAAGCACCAAAACAAAATTAAATTAAATAACAAAATCTCAGACAATAGTTAAGTGCATTTATTTTATAAGGTCTCTCCCTCTTCGCCAAAAAACTTTGTCTAATAAATTTTGTTGCATATTCCATAGCCAGTTGTCCCTTCTTAATCACCAGTTGGCATCTGCCATGATTGCAACTTTCAGTCGGCATTAATATATACCTTAGGTTTCTTTTATATCTTGGTGGAACCTCTCACGTAGTCCAAATGTGAGTGTAAAAAGTGTAGTTATTTCCTTAAATTTCTCTAACATGTTTTCTACAATTTTCATTTCGAAGTCTAGATCCTTAAGAAAACCTAAGTCTCTCACTAAGTTATTACGTTCTGATTGTGATAATAACTGTTTTCGCTGAGAAATACTCCATATATCACCAACCAAAGGAATATTAATAGCGGTCTTCATGATGATTTGTTGGCTCTCTCCATATCAACGGTATTCCAAAAGGTAGGGATCGCCTGGCTCCATTATTCCAATGTCGTAAACCTTCTTCATATAAGTTACAAACAAGGTTTGTCTTGATCATATATTTTTACTTTTAAATAACCGTATGTCATGGATGTCATTTTAAGTCTAAATTTGTTGACTCCAGAAGAACCACACATATAGTAAAGCGTATTTGGAATATTTTAACAATGTCTTGGCATTTTAGAAAGAAATTTAACTGCACTATGATCAGAAAGGTCACGGTACGACTGTCAACAACAGCATTTACACGATAAGCGGGTTTTCTTCATGACATGAACATGATACAAAAAACCATTGTTATTCAAGTAAAAAAATATGAAAAATACCAAATCAGAAAATTTGTGTTGGCCTCTGCAATTATTAATTTACACTTTCGGGACTAATACTATCAACAACTAACGCTACTGGAATATTAAGGACAGTTTTGTAGAATATTTTAGAGACTAGACGGTTTGAAAAGTAATTTATTAACCGACAGACTACTGCTCAGGTGCAAAAAAAGCAACAGTAAAATCTTTTTTAGAAGGCTTTAGATGAAGTGTTGCATATACCCGCGATAAACTACCCGTTTAACCCATATTATCCCAAGCATAAAAAAAAATAAAAAAATACTTTTTTACTCTGAAATTATTTATTTTGTTACACTTAAGAATATATTACATGTGTAAAAAAAAATAAAAACTCGAAACATACAAAAAAATACTGGTGCGTAAACGAGCCACTGGGAAAAAAACATTAAATAATGCTTTGGGCCACATAAGACGTAAGAAATAATTTATGCATAAATATACAAAAGAACGTTCAAATCCGACAGAAAACAACTAAAAGTAGATTGTTTTCCAAATAGAACCTGATTTGATACAAAAAAACACATAACCTTTTTTGGTGCGTGAGCGCACCACTGGTAACAACCGGTTTCATTTTTGGTGATATTTTACAAAGCACGAAGCATGTTACACTTATTACAAATGTAAATTGTGTGGGTGTGGCAGATTCTACATCTCCTTCGCATGATAGCTATAGTACCGGTGGCAAAATAACAAAGTTTTGTTTCGCAGATAAAACCAGTGATGTATTCACGCACCAGTAAATGGCAATCCAAATCCAAAATTTTTTTTTTACTATTTTGGATTTACTTGAAAATTTGATACAAATTTATGTACCGCTTTTGTTAACTTTTGAACTCATATATAAGATCTTTCTTTTACACATAAATTAGCGATTTATACGGATTTATGTCCGTCAGTAGTGAATAATAAAATTTTTAAATGGATGTGCAAAAATATTTCCTGGGACAAAATGGGTTAACGTACATCGATAAATATACATCGATGCGGTCACGGTCATTCTCAGTACAAAAAAAATGTAAGGATACAAAACGACCCTATTCGTATAGCAACACTTTAATTACTGCGTATGACGCATTCTTCCCCTTGACTGCACGGTCAAACCGCGCTGTTGCCAGCTTATAAAATAATCGTGACTTTGAAGAAAATATAGTGCAATGTTCACGACATAAAGTTACCAATTTTGAACCAAGTATTTAGACGTTTGATAAGTTTTCAAACTGATAGACTAAATTAAATGTCTAAACACCACTCCTTCGATTGTCGATAAATAGAAGTTGCCAGTAGCCTGCACCGCTTCTTTGAAAAATTAATGCTCAACGTTTTAGACAATCACGTCCTGATGGTTCAAAGAATGATTGGATCTTCTCAGTTCGGTACAGGTGGTTCGTCAGGGTACCACTACCTACGATCGACTCTGAGGTAAGGACATAATACCAGTGGCTTTCGAAAATCGATGAAACCGAATGTTTTGAATGTATCTGCGCTCGTATAAAAATTTTATATCTTGGTAACGGTAGGTCCTATGGGATCGCCATTGTACAGAAATGATCACCGTCGAAAAAAGATTTTTTTTGTGTTCTCCGTTCTCCGTTCTCGTATTTTGGTTTTTTCTGAATAACTTGCGAACCGTTGGATTTCGTGCTAAATGAGAAATGTGTTAAGTGTCCTAAATTTGCAGATATCAACTTCAAATTTAGCAGAGAAGTCAAAGTCCGTGTCCAGATTTAAACGGTAGATATGGGGGCAATCAAATTTTACCAAGTATTTTTTAAAAATGTTTGAATTTTTTTTGTGGAATCTTAGCTTCGTTCATCCGATTGGCGAAATTGTTTAACCGGCAGACGCAGAAGATCCAGTGCAATAACATTTATTATTGGCTTTTTTCGATTATATACAGGGATTTCAAATTATTAGTTGCAAATCAAAAATCGTAAAAAATATGGCTAATTAGTTCAAACCGTGTCATAGGCCGCATCAGGAGCTACAATTTTTGTATTTGCGGTTTTCGTCTATCACATACGCTACTCGGGATATTTGAAAAAGCCATATTGAAATTGATATTTCGGGGGCTGTCAAGACGCGATGACGTTATTGATTATTACGGCGCACTGCATGGTTTCAGAAAAAACTTATTCTCCAAAACCATTTACTATTTTCAAAAAATTCTTGAACCAGGAAACATGGAAAATCCAGGGCTATAACCTCTACTTCGAACAATGATTGTATCATATACAGGGTGTGTCGTTTATAGGCAAAAAATCTAAAATAACCTAAAAATTTCCGTTTTTGTGCGTAAATTATTGGCGATAAATGAAAAACCGTTAAAGAGGGGACAATTTTATTTGAACAGTATCGTAAACCGTGTCGTGAGAGAGTTTCAGGTTTCGTCAGTTATATTTGAAAAAATATCATTCGACCACGCTATTACTTGTGCAAAATTTAATATTTACCGATGTTTTCTTTAAAAATATATTAAATTGGTTTAAACATTGTTATAGGCCACGTCTAGGGCTACAATTTCTCCATTTACGATTTTCGTCTATCACATAAGCTGCTCGAGATATTTGAAAAAATCCGTATTAACATCTCTATTTCTCGCACTACTATTACGACGTACTGCATGCTTTCAGAAAACAAGTATTTTCTCGAAAACCAGTCACCCTACTGAAAAAATTCATATACCGGGAAAAGTGGGAGATCCAGGGCTTGAAACTCTATATCGACTATGGTCTGAATTATATACAGGGTGTGTCGATTATGGGCAGAAAATCTAAAAGTTTACTGGAATTTTCATTTCTGTGGGTAAATTATTGGCGATAAGTGAAAAACTGTTAAATATCAGATAATTCTCTTTTGAACAGTATCGTTAATTGAGAGAGTTTCAGGTTTCGCCTATTATATAGGGCACGCCAGATAATCGATAAAAATCTTTGAAGTTTCGCGAGACGTGCAAGACGCTTTGTACATCGATTACATCGATTTTGCGAAAGTTTCACAGTAGAGCAGTCGCCTCGCGCAGCGACGAGATTGCGAACGCAATCTTTTTGACTTTCCGAAATTAGTAAGCTGATTTGATGTTTGGGTATTGTTGCAGTGACCGTTACAAAGTTTTCGTCGACCTGTTTAATCTATCCACGTTTCTTATCCCGAGAGCATACATTCCTCGTCTCAGCACTTCTATCAAACGCCAGCTTTGCCTATGGCAGAACGGAGACGATTCTTCTGATGGCGAAAAGTTCGATAAAAATGTTTAATCTTATTTAGTATCCCCTCTTCCACTATTTATTTGTCTATTAAGTTTATTAGATTGCTACCAGCTTAGTAAGCGATTTTGTCAACTTCTTTACGCATGCATACATACCGTATGATTTGGTCCGCCATGGTTGCAATACCTCTACCTCTCGACTACTAAAAGTATAAATAATGGCATATGTTTGTTGCTACGCTTGTAAACTTATTAAATATTTATAACATAGAAATAAAGCTTAATAGGTAATGTGTTTCATTTTCACTTAATTCGTTACTAAAATGCAAAACTAAATGAGGCTGATCAATGCGCGAAGCAATATCATACATTCTCCAAAAACCTTTTTAATTAAAATTAATTTAACTACACAATAATAAATTTTTGTTCGTTGTTCAATTTAATTTGAAAACTAATTATGAGCTACGCTATGGGGCAAAAGTGAAGCAGTAAAGTCAAATATAGATATATTGAAAATGATTTAAAGAATCATGGTGATACGAGAAATGATATTAACAGAACTCACCAGCGGTATCTCACAGGGAAGCATACTAGAACCTTTCTTATTTATAGTATTTATTAATGATATATCTGATTCTTTCCCAGACAATTATGTTTCCTTATATGCTACTGCTGTGGCAGTGTCATCTAGGAGTGTGGAAGATCTCACGTTCTTGGCCACTAGGGTGGTAAATGGTATGACCCGATATTGTGAGCGTAACGGTATTTGTTTAAACAGGACAAAGACTGAGATGATGTTGTTTTCGTTTAGGGATTTGAACAAGATCTTATTGGTTAGAATGCAGGATAAATCGATTAATCAGACTAACGTTGTCAAGTATTCGGGTTTGTTCATGGACAGGCCAAATTGACTACGTATTAAACAGAATGGCTATGCATACTTTTGTTATTTGGCGACTGTGTTCGAGTGTGGGTCTTCAGCTTTTACTATTGTATTATTTCGAATATGTTCAATCCTGCTTATCTTACGCTATTATATGCTGGCGAAACTTTTCCAGAGCTAGTGCAGGTTTTGTCCAACAAAAAGGTATTATTCGAACAATGTTGGGAAGTCTCGTGGTCACTCTTGTAGAACCCTGTTCCCAAAATTAAATATTTTAACGTTTCCCTCTCTCTTTATATTAAATAGCCTAATTTACATAAAGTATAATCTATCTAATTAATGAATTGATGGAGATTGCAATTGCCAATTCATAAGTTAATCAAAGTAGCTAACAGCCCTATGATTTTACCAATAAAACTATATAATAAGTTGCCTGTCCATTTATTTATGCAAAAATTAAAGCTCATTTTGAACAAGAATATTTTTTATTCTATCGATGAACACTTTCATTGTAGTAATGCTGGTCTCTCAGTGTGATATATTTTGTGTGTTTGTACGTACGTTTGTCTGTTAGTGTTCTAATGTATCTTTTTTTTACTTGTCGACATTATCCGATGCTTTTGTTAAAAGTCAATGGAAATATGTTAAATATGTTGTTACATGATTATTTATTTTAACGACTCGTTTTATAAGAGCAACTTTAAATTTTAATATAAATTTAAATATAAAAGTTTGAGCGAGCATTAATCCCACAAAACAACGCAAAATATGCTCAAGTCAAAAAGAAAATAATGACGAATTTGACAACCTGCGAGACAGGGTGGCATTGTTGAAAAACTGCTGTGGAAACTCGAATGGCCGTCTTTAATTATTATGTATTATTACCCAGGAAATGGTCTAAAATGTGAGTTGCTAAAAATTGCCACAAATTAAAAAAACAAATCCACCATAAGCCACAGACGAAGTAATTGCTAAAAGTGGTCATCTTGCTTTAAGATTGCCTCCTCACCATTGCATATTGGTGTGGGTTCAGAGCAAAATATTGTTTAATAAAAATATTATAAGTGAGGTAATGATGATTAACGATGATACTACAATAGTATCTGTTTGGAAAGCAGATCTCCAGACAGTCACCAAAGAAAATTGGATCAGTTGTAACATACATACAGAAAAAACAATCAAATGATATCATTAAGGAAGACCCTGATCTATTATTACATAGAAAACACATGAATCCATCTCTGCTTGGAGCGTCCTAATTAATTTAACTAATGACAAGTACAACTACAACACAACACAAGTACAACACAACACAACACACAACACACAACACAAATATATTGTGCAACAAGTGTGATAACCGTCATTTGAGTCAGGAGTTTATTTGGCACCTTTCCCATCCGTTTCGTCCTAGGTAAAAGTTTTGAATGAACCAGCGGCATGTGTTGCTAAACAAATAATTTCTCAGGCAATGACATATGGCGGAAAATGTGAGTTTCATTTTATCATTCCAAAGTTACTCCGTGAGTAGAAGGAGAGGGAATCGTGCCTGGTGTCATGGAATGAATGTTCAAAAATAATACCCACAACTTTTGGCATGCTCGATTTTTTCTGTTATCCAATAAATCAAAATCTAAATCACTTTCTTCACTTATTTGTTCTTAATTGGATAACGTTGTCATTGATCGTTTTGAAGTAAAATTATATTAAAACTTCCTTCGCCCTCTTTTACCTCCTCGTAGGTGCTATTCTGGTGCTAACTGGAGTGATTTGTATTCATCATCTCTGAAGCAAAGAATATTTACTCTACATTAATAAGATCTTAGCACCAAGAAGATCTAATCTTTAAAGTTCTCACAAATACCTAATTAACCCCCTGTATAATAAGTTGTTCCATACCTTCCATTACGTCAGAAGCTACGTTTACAGGTCTAGCTATATCTATCGATTTCTGCAACTTGCATTACAATAGAAATTTAATCAATTGATAATTTCCTCATATTTGGCATTTGGCATTGAATGAGGTTCCCTATGTGAAGAAATGGTAGTAAAACGTGACGAAAAACATCCACTAATGTTTGACGCTTTTATACGTCAAAAACCAACGTGTGGAGGGGGATCGGTCAAAAATCGAAACAGCTTCAGCCAGTCGTTGGACATTAAAAAACATGAACTTTATTTTGAAAAACTTAATAATAACATTTAACATCGTAGTGAACACCTTAAGAACGACTTTGCAACACCGACCGATTACGACGTATGATTTTCTGAACATCGATTGGTCCATTTAACTTCCAAGTTGATGTCACTCTCGTTAGCGCGGAATCGCCTGGACTTACTTAACACTTTAAAACACTTGAATATATTGAAAAAGCTTTTTCTAAAGCTGCAGTTCATGAAACAATAGGTGATGGGATTGCAACAGCTAGAACTGTAAGCTAACAATTGGAAGAAACTTATCCCTGTGTACCCTATGCTGTTATAAATCATGTCCTGGTCGAATAAAGCTATTGTGTTAATAATATAGAGGGGAGTCCAACAGAGAAAAAACTCAAGGACGACGACGAAGAGCATCTTAATTATTCTACGTTTGTTGCATAAAATTCGTTCGATGTTGGTCCGTCTGAGTTCGGTGGTGAGTTTCTTCGAACATGTTAGTGAAGTCATACCGGATTGTTCCGGCACGTTCGAAACCGTCTTCGAATTGATCGGGTGGCGAATTGAAGTAGTCCTGTTCTTGAAGCTCCATCGATTTGAGATGTTCCGTTGGAGATGCACGTACATGTGAACCGAAGAATTGGCTGAAACTAACATAGTAGTGTCAGGCTGAATTTGAAACTTTATTCATTAAATTAAGTTAACTGAGCCAAACATGTCCGTACCCAAGCAGCAAGTTTTGATTTCTGAACTGAATTGAGCAAAATCCACTTGCATGTCGTGCGTTTAATGGTTAAAACTGCATTTTGCCCATTACCCATAACTTTTATATTTATGAAAATTTTGTAGCCATAGCCAACTATGATTGCCTTCTAAAATAAGAAGGTTGTTTGTATTTGAGAACTGTAGAAAAAATCTGAGTACATCACTGCATTTTCCTTAAAAAAATGATCTTATAATGTTTTTTATTCGAATCTAAGATATTCGTAATATAAAAAAGTCATAAAATGGAATTTCAACATGGCCGAAAATTGAAAAATATTTCGAATGGTAGTGAATAAAATGTTTCTCAAAAATCCTTGTCATGGAAGTCGATTTTGCCCTATCAAGTTCAGAAATAGTTTTTTTTGTTAAAACCCTCCACCCTGTATTAGTACCTCTAGCATCTGATACTGTTTGGGTGTAAGTAAATCAGCAAATAGAAAATACTAGAAAATATTCTGGTTTTAATGACCACCAGGGGGAGCCATGCTATGAGTTATGCGATTGCGATTGATTAACTTTCCAGGTTGGAATGTTGGATGAAATAATGGCAAAAAAAATTCTTTTACAAAGGAACAAACATAATGATATGGTTTTTTATGTCATTGGATAGTCAAACGACACAGTGAAAAGTGCACCTAAAATACCTAGAATAGGAATAATAGTATATTATACAACAAGTGCGGTAAACGGCATTTGACTCATGAATTTGACACGAGCGGAGCGAGTGTTAAATAAACGAGTGACTTATAAGGTTGCATACTATACTTTTTCTAAGATCGTTAGTTTTTGGGTACCTATTCGTAAAATAACATTAAGCGTGGGAAATATCCCCGAAAACATTAGACTGCTCCCATACCCGTGCGGTAAAATGCCGGAAATGTCCGAAGTGACTCGGATTCGTGGGAAACGAGATTGACGTAATAAAGTGACGCTTTATAAGAGTTGGGAAGAGTAGGAAAAAAAACTCTTTACAGGTTGTTGTCAATGTAAATTATACCGAATTTTCCAAACTAGAGGTTCATTTATTATTTATGACAATTATTACATTACACGCTTGCAAAGTTCACCAAATTACAGCGTCCTACTCTTTGATATTCGTACGTAACCCCATTGAAATATTTGGTATTATCACTTATTTTTTCATTAATAATTTGATTTTAACAACTAACCAGAACTAACCCCTCAGGGGCTCACAATTTTCCAAAACAGGAAGAGACAGAAAATAAGGAGGGACTCGCAAACAAAAAACTTATCGAAGATATGGATGTACAGGTTACAAAGTTGATGAGTGTCATCCAGACAAATATAAATACTAAAAAGGAGATCAAAGATTCGGTAGTAAGGTTAAGCAGCATAGCTAGCAGGTTAAAAGGCAGAGAAATACAGATGTGGCTGGGAAAAGGCGGAAGTAGTAAGAGTAGTGAAACAGAGAAGAACTCGGCAGCAACACAAACAAGCAATGAACATAATATGGCAGAGACAAAAATGCAAACTGTATACATGAAAGTATTGACAGAGGAGAAAGAAGCAGAACTCATAAGGGAGTCTCTGAGGGTAATAGAATCCTTAGATGATCTTTTGAGAGCAGTAAAGAAGACCTGGCCCGAGGCGGCATACAAAAATGTAAAAATCGAAGTGGGAAACCCCCTATCAAAAAGTTCTGGAGGTGACCTGGCGATATACTCCGAAGACCCTGAAATGACTAAAGGTATCAGTAAGATTTTTAAGGAGAGATATCCCGAACTCACGTTGTTGGGAGATCCAAAAGAGACTACTGAAGTAGCATACCTCACTACCTCAGTAAAAATTGGGAGAATGGCAACAAGCGAACGTACCGTATTCAGGCTCTGTCCACTGGGACCCGTGAGCGAAGAAAGAAAAAATGAGGAATTGTACAAGATTCTGGTAGGCCTTAGAGAGACGGCAATCAAATTGGGAACGAATAATATACGGATGCCAATACCCGACAGGTATGAAACTGAAATGGTCAGAAAGCTGCTCGAAGTGGCATTCATCGACACAAAGATAGGGATAAGCCTGCACGTGCTGAAACAAGAAATAAACAGGAACACGATTAACACTACAAAAAAAATTAACCAAGACAAAGACACAGATGTCCTAATTGTTAAGGCAGGGAATAAAACATATGCTGAGCTACTGAGGGAAATGAAGACCAAAATTAACCCTAAGGAACTAAATATAGATATAAATCAAGTAAAAGAGACTAAAAATGGTGAAGTTCTATTAATCATGAAAAGCAACAAGGCGAATACCGAGTTATTACGTACGCAAATAGAAGCTAAAATATCAAACGCCGAAGCTCGAACTGCAAGAGAACAGATACATGTGTACGGCATAGACGCCGCAACTAGTACTGAGGAACTAAAAGTGGCACTGCAGATCTACACCGACGGAGTTGAAGGGGATATAGAGGTGAAGTCTATGAGATCATATTCTAGAGGCTCTCAGGCTGCAGCAGTAGCAGTGAACCCTAAGGTTTCAGAAATCCTACGAAAAGCGGATAGGATCAAGATTGGATGGAGCTCTTGTAGTATTAAGGAGCGCATACCAGTCCTACAGTGTTACAAATGCCTTCAACATAGGCATACTATCAAAACGTGCAAAGGGCCAAATCGTGCGAAATTGTGCTACAGCTGTGGAGATGAAGGACACAAAGCCGCAGGATGCAAAAACGAGCCAACTTGCTATGACTGTGGAAGAAAGGGACACCGAACAGGGAACATAAAATGCCCTGTCTACGGCAACCTTTTGAAGCAGAAAAGACAAAACTAACAAAAATGATGCAACATCTAACACAACCAGTGAAAACAGACAGGAAGTAGGAGGGAACATTACCAGGGCCAACACGAGGACATCAAGATTATGCAAGGAAATGTTGATAGAGGCTCAAAGGCGGTGGATATGTTATATAAGATGGCCGATGAATATGGGGCGGATATTGTCCTGGTAGCAGAGCCAAACCGGAAGAAATTGAAAGGTGGGAAATGGATTCACGACCAAAATATGGACGCAGCGATTTATGTCCCAGGAGGCCAGATCAACATCCTGCAACATGGTGCAGGGGTTGGTTTCGTATGGGTGGACACACCACATGTTATAATCTATAGCTGCTACATATCACCAAACGTAGACATTGTCACGTTTGAGAACTTTCTGCATAACCTCAGGGAAGATGTGAAAAAACAAAAGAAAGAGATGATCATTGGAGGAGACTTCAACGCTAAATCCTTTCTGTGGAGCCCTAAACCAGAAGATAGGAGAGGGGAATTACTATCAGAATGGTTGGCTGAAGAGGACCTCATTGTACACAATAGAGGCAGTGTACAAACCTTTATCAGGGGAAGCAGTGAGTCATATATTGACATAACATTTAGCACCCAAAAGATAGCTAGACAAGTCATAAATTGGAAAGTCCTTGAAGAAGAAAACCTGAGTCTCCATCAGCATATCCTGTATACAATCACTGGAAGCAATTGGACCGAGCTCCAGAAACCCAATACAGCACAGCGCTGGGTAATAAATAAAGAAAGGCTTACCGATCTGTCTCTGGAAGTAGACAGACAACTCAGAAATGACCATAACAATCTGAGATCAGCAGAGCATTTTACGGACTTAGCAACAAATGCGTGCGATAAGACCTTTGTAAGGAAACGCAGCAGCGCAAGAAGACCGGTGTATTGGTGGACAGCAAAAGTGGCAGACGCGAAGAAAAAATGCATTGAAAGTAAGAGAAAGATGGTCCGAGCGAACAAACGTAGCGATGAATCAGTCAAGAGATTATGCCATGATAAATATAAAAGAGATAGAGCCCAACTCAAAAGAGCAATTTCTGAGGCAAAAAAGCTGCATAGAAGAAAGTGATCGAGGAAGTAGACAAAGACATATGGGGAAGAGGGTACAAGATTGTTACCAACAAAATAAAATATCCACCATTAAATATCTCAGACGAAAAGCAATTACAAATTGCTAAGTCACTTTTTCCGACTCGACCACTTCAAAAGTGGAACAAGGTAACAGTTCAACCTAGGGACATACCTCTGTTTACTGTCGAAGAACTAAGAACTGCAGTTGGAAAAATAAAGGATAGCAAAGCCCCTGGACCGGACAATCTCTCTCCTGAAATTATAAAGATAATTGCGAAGTATTATATTGAGGAGTGCACAGACCTCATGAACAAAATATTGCTGAAGGGAGAATTTCCTAGAATATGGAAATTGGCGCGACTTATCCTTATAGAGAAACCAGGTCAGGATAAGAAGTATAGACCCATATGCTTAATCAATGTAGCTGGTAAGCTACTGGAAAATTTGCTGGTAAAACGTCTCAAGGAAGAAATTGAAAGGACTGGCGGACTGGCAGAAGAACAGCATGGGTTTCGGGAAAAGAGATCAACTATCAGCGCTTTGAGAAGGATACGAGAAAAGGTAGACGACGTAAAACAGACACTGTGAGGAAGGAGGAAGTTATGTGCTCTTGTCACGGTGCCTTCAACACGGCATCATGTGTGTGTGGTATATTGGAAGAGCTTCGAAATCGTAACATAGCCCCTTATCTTTATAATATCATAGCAAGCTACTTCGAAGATAGGCGTTTAAGCATAGGTGAGGCAGCGCAAATGGACGTCACATGCGGGGTCCCGCAGGGATCAATAATAGGTTCAACCCTATGGAATGTGTATTACAACGGTGTATTCCGAATTCCTGTTCCAAATGGTATTACCCTTGTCGGATATGCTGACGATCTGGCTATCTTAGCAGAAGTAAAAAAAGCCGAGATGATGGAAACAGTAGCCAACCATGCCCTTTACAATGTCACGGAATGGATGAAATCTAAAAACCTGAAATTAGCACCAAAAAAACGGAGG